TGAATGAAGAATTGGGAGGTAATGTCCGCCATGTAGGCGGGTAGTGAGGAGGGAGGGGGATGTTGCTCTGAGTTAGATGATGGAGGCGTATGGCTCATGCAGCATGGGTCAGTTGCTCTGAGTGAGTTGGGTACACCACCAACTCTCAAGTCTTGGTGACTTATAATTACAGATGCGTTTCTCACGGGTGCAAAGTCTCAAACGGGCCCCATGCATGGCAGGCCCACCTCACCACTGGCAGCCATCAGGGGAAGTCATTCCTGACCCAGGCCAGGCTGGCCCAGAGTGCACCCACAGAGAAGCATCACGCACAGGTCACTCACTGCTCCCAGTTATTGGCCAGAGCTTACCAGGTCTCCTCAGCTTCACCGCAGGTGAGACCAGAAGACTAAGATGTCATCCTCAAGCCGCCCCACAGATGAGCGCAGATGGGGGCTTGGTGAGCGCTGTCTACCCCATCTATTCCCCAGACAGCAAATTTAAAGAATGCAGAGTATCCTGGTGGTCTGAAAAGAAATCTCTATGGGCCAAGGAGAGTCGTAGTGATTCTCTCTAGTTATTAAATTGCTGGCAGATTTTACGTTCTTCTTTATATTTTTGCATTTCCCCAGCCTAGCAATATTGAATACGTTTTTCAGAATCGAAAAAAGTAATGCAAGTTATTTTTTTGAAGTTGAGAACCAAGTTCAGACCAGAGGTAACCATGACTCCAATGAGGAGAACGACTCCAAAGAAAAGAAGAATTCTTTAAAAATGCGCTTCTGACTGGATAACCATAGCTGGGCAGGAAGGCAGGTAAGAGATAGGCCCAGACAGGACGGTTGCCACCCAGGAAGCTCCCTGTAAACTCATTTTTAAAGGGCATCCGCAGAGAGGGCGAAGAGGGGGCCGGGCTCTATGAATCACCATCTCCAGAGAAGAGGGAAAGGGAATTTAGAAGCCAAACAGCTCATAAATTAGGGGACAAAGGAACAAAGGGTGCCGGCTAAGGGGGGATTTGCCATCCACTGCTGCCAGCTTCTGCCACCTTCTAAGTCTCCCCCGCCCCCTGCACAGCCGCCCTCTGAACGCGCAGAGCCCTGAGGTCGTGGTCACTCAAGCTTGAGCCACGGTGGCAGGACTGGTTTCCAAGTACACGTTACGGAAACGGTCTCGTTCTCTATGGAGCCCCCATCACCATCTACTGCCCTGCATCCTCCAATTTGCTTTTGAAGGCAGAGGTGTCCTTTAAAAGCTCACCTGTGACCCACATGGCTCCCCATGAAGCCCTGGGCAGACGTCCTGCCCATCTGCCCCGCTGTCCTCCCCACCAGCCTTGCTCACCCCGGCCTCAGTGACCTCCATGCACTCATCCCCCACAGTCTTCCTGGGCCGGGAACGTTCCCTCGTCCCTCCCCATTGAATAAGCCTCTGGTCACGACCTCAGTGTTTATCCTTCGCTGTCAGCTCTGAGGAAAGCAGAGAGCACAGCTGTTTGCTCCCTGTCCTTGTGCATCCCACCCCCGTGGAGTGTCCCATGTCCCTTCGTGCTCTGTAACCCCTTCTGATCTGAGTGAGAAGTCGTGATGGAGATCATTTCTTCTCCTTCCCTCTTCCTGAGGAGCCTGTGTCCCTTTGCAGTCCCGTGTTTTGAGCAAGAATTCAATAAACAGCTGCAAGTTTTCCCCTCACTCTCTTTTGAATTCTCTGTGTGGTCTTGGGACAGGGCTTCCCTCCAAGCCCTTTCTTCTTGCATAAAGGGAAGTGTTTAAACGACATGGTCTCCGAGGCGCATCCTCCTCTCACCCATAATTCTAGGACCCTCAAAGACTCCGGCAAAGCACAAGATGGAAAAATGAAGAGTGCAGGTCGGGCCGGGGGAGGCTGGCCCTGTGGTTTGGTGGGGCCCGCCTGGCGTCTGGATCCCATTTCCGCAACTTGGTGGCCTCGAAGCCGCACTGGTTGCTTCATTCCTCTAGACCTTGACTTCCTCTTCTCTAAAGTGAGATAAGAATACCCACCTCGCAGGTCTGATGAGCGGATTAAGTGAGATCATGCGCTCCAACACTGCAACGGAGCAGGCTTCGGTTAAATCCTCTTCTCCTCCCTAACTGTCATGGGATTCAAAAGCAGAAGGTAACGAAATAGGGCAGGAAATAGGGCTTTCAGACGAAAGCCTCAGTTGCCCCAACGTGTGACTGCTCATGTGTGCTCGAGTCCCTGGAGAGGCCACCAGATAAAGAAAATATCCACAGGGAACTCGTTCCAGGACCACCAGCCCATGTACACACCAACAGCATCCATAGTCACTGAAGTCCCCGCGTGAGATGGCTTAGTATCCCATGGACCCCCGCAATCCTCCTGTAGGCTCTGAACACTCCCTGGACATCGTACCCTACTGACCACAGGGAAACCACCACATGACTGCTTGTTGTACTGCTTCGTTTCAGGAATGGCGTGAAGACGAAGCTATCTGCACGTGCTTGGTACGGAGACTTTTTTCAAATATTTCTCATCATACCTACTTTGGGGGGTCACGGAAGAAAAACACTGGTGCCTGTTAAACCCTGTGGCCCAGAACAAATGCACAACCAACTTTTTCTGAATGATTTTGGTGACAATGAGTCAAGGAGGGGTTTTTGAGGCCTCCTCTGAGAGTCAAAAGGTGCAGATATGAAGCCACCCCAAGTCCCTGTCAGAGGCCAGCCCCACACATAGCCGATCACAGGGAAGCCCCACCCAGTGCCTTTCTCTCTCCTTCCCCACAACAGGTGGTCTGGGCACACTGGCAGAGAAGCTCCTCCCAAGAAAGTGAGGCGCCCCCTCACTCCGGCCTTCACCACCCCACCTTTCACTTACAAACTGCTTCTAAGGCCAGGCATAGTGACCTACCCCTGCCATCCCAGCAGCTTGGGAGGCTGAAGCAGGAGGATAGCAAGTTCAAGGCCAGCCTCAGTAACTTAGCGTGGCCCTTAGTAACTTAGTGAGAATTTGTCTCAAAATAAAAAATAAAATGAGCTGTGAATGTGGCTCAATGGTTGAGCACCCTTGGGTTCAATCCCCAGTGCCCCCACCCCCCGCAAAAAAAATAAAACTGCTTCTAAGAAGGTCATGTGAAGGGTAAGCTGGGCTCTATGCTAAACAAGCCTGCTATTTCTCAACCAGACTCTCCTTGAGAAACTCAACAACCACATCTGGGGAATTCTCAGCAACCGAGGGATGAAGATGGGGCCAGGCTGGGTGTGCCTGCAGATGGCACCTCGGGTATTTTCCTGGATTACCAAAGAGGTGCCTGCTCTGTTCCCAGAAACCAGATAGATCCTGGGCCTCCATGGCGGCCTCCACTTGACTGTACCCTCTATGTTATAGTTTTCAAACCGACGTATTTCCAGAACTCTTATCTTCTCCAGCGACCTGAGGCACACCGTAATGACTGTGCAGGTTCCCCAGTGACAGAAGCCATCATTAGCATTGTTATTATTTTTGTTGTCTTATATCTCCATAGCAGCCCACAGTCACAGTGTGCCCTGCAATCGGTCTTGATCATTGTCCTCAAACGATGCCCGAGGCAGGGGTGACCAGGGTGAGCATCTCTGTGCAGCCCCACGGGGAGACAAGGTAAGGACACGTGTGAAGTCCACAGCCATCACTGTCCACACGGGGTCCATCCCTAGCCACCAAGCCTCTGCCCATTACTGTCCTTCTCTCCGTTCCTGTGCCCGTCCAAGGTGCCACTCATCCCTGTGGCTCTGTTCATAACTATCAGGACACAGGTACACTGGCAGCAGAATCAGAGATTTCACACATGGAATAGACCTGGGTATCATCTAAGACCCTCCCCGTCATTTACGGTTGAGCAGGACCAAAAGGGTACCGAATACCACTCGTACCAGCCGCCGGGTCCTGACTCTGTGCTTCGACACCCCATTTCTGTGTCTCCCCTTTCCTTTGCCTTTTCTCTTTACCTTTCTCTCTCCCTTTCCTTCCATCCCCTTCCTTTATTTGAAATGTACGTGGTTTAAACTCCAACAGGAACCTGAGTGTTGATTTGCTAAGTGTCTGATGTTCTGCCACCTGAGCTGGGCTGGCCTTGGGACACTGAAAAAGCCTTTAATAACAAGAACCAGGGAACCCCGAGGTCGAGCCTCCCTTTCCCTGCCCTCTGTCCCACATGGAGCCACTTGTTCAGCCTGGGCCACTCCGCACCTCCCCATCCAGTGGCACACGGCATGGCCTCACCCCAGGGAAAACCAGCCTGTCCCCCGGCTCTGCAAGGGCCACTGTGCCTTCATGTGGCTGGGGCTGAGGGTTCTCTCCCAAAGCTCTGTCACTTCTGTGGGACACGTGTTGACAAAATTTACATTGGTATAAGGATCATTACTCTTGTGATAAATATCACTTTCTCTACCCTAACGCAGCCCTGAGGCTGCCCCTCCATACTCAAGAGATTCGTGTCTGATTCAAGCAAACCTCCCTCTTCAGAAAAAAAAATGGTTCATTTTCCCTCAAATGCCACCTTGTAGCTGCCAGTGGCTGCCAGCTCCCCTGCCAGTTCACATTCATCCCGGGGACCCGGAGAACAAATTAAATCAAAACACCAAGTACAGCTACCAAGCTCCCTGCCATTCTAGTTTTCTATATTTGTGATTTGGGGATTTTTTTTATTCTTCCTCCCCATGATTTATTTTTAGAAAGTTGATAAGCTTCCTGCCCTCCTTCCCTTTTTCTCAGGCTACTTGTTTGTAATCGCAGGGAGCAAGCAATAAATAAAGGAACCAAGTCAACTTCCAGCCTTGGACGTTTTGCAAACTACCATTGGATTCTGGAGCATATCAACTTGAATGAACATGGACACACAAGGCCAGTTGAGTTCCTGTAAATTTCCCATGACGCAATGAGAGGAGTCCACACCTACTCAAAGGAGTCAATTATAAAAGGCCAAGGGAGCCTGACTCAGGACTGAGCTTCCAGGCAGAGAGGGAGTCATTTGGCGTTTGAGTCGGCAAAGGTACTGTCCTTCCTCCACCTCTGGCTTGGGCTGCTGACGCTCAGACTAACTTCTATAAAACTCGGGCCTCTTCCTTCCTTCTTTTCTTGTCCTTCCCTGGTTTGGTATGAGGGCTAGAATCACAGTCAGGTTCCAGGAAAAGACTCTTGTTTTACTGATGGGGAACTGAGGGGCAGCCAAACTGATCCCTGGGAGGGCGTCTGAGACACAGCTGTGTCTTCCTCCGGGAACCTCAGCTCTCAAAAACTATAGGAGAAAACTGGAAAGTTTTCCACTCTGTCTCTGCCCTGGATTTGCATTTCATCCTCAGGGGTTTTTTGTCTTAATCCATCTGAGCACTGAGTGTCTATCCTGGGCCGTGCACTGGGTTGGGGACAATAGGAATACCAAGAGGAATAGGACATTCTCCAGGGAGCTTCCTGTTGAGTAGAGGAGGCAGGGGCGTAGAAGAGGATGCAGGAGACTGAGAAGAACGGGGGAAACCTGGCGGCCAGCTCCCCACCGAGGGCCAGGGCCGGAGGCTGGTTGGCTGACAGCACCCTGTTCTCTGTTGCAGAAGTCAGCATGGCCAAAGTCCCTGACCTGTTCGAAGACCTGAAGGACTGCTACAGGTAAGAAGCAGGTCCCGGGAGCACCACACTCCCAGGAGATGAGTCGGACTCAGAAGGTCAGGGTCGTGGGTTTTCCCCGATGTGTGGAAGCTAGAGAGGAAAGAGGAAAAGAAAGTGGGTGGAGGATCTCACGAAAATCAAAGGGGGATCAGACAAGCATAGGAAAGAGAATGAGGGAGGAAGGAGGAGAGAAAAAGGAAGCACTGGAGTGATACTGGCCAAATATTATAGTTATATTGTGTGCATTTAAGAATATGTAACAGCAACTCCCGTCATTATACATACCAATAAAAAAACAGGAAAAAAGTATGCCCTACCTCTTGTGATTTAATGAGGGGTTCAAGGCTTACTAGACTCCAGGTAGGTGTTACATGGGGCCAACAGACAGAGGCTATGGAGAGGCACTCTGGCCCTGAACTCAGAGCAGATTCAGAGAAGACCCAGGGAAACTAAGCATCCAGCGTGTCAAACTAAAATTACATGGGCTGGCAGATGGACACTTTAGAAAAGTTATCTTTAGCTGGGTGCCGTGGTGCACACCTGTAATCCCGGAGGCTCAGGAGGCTGAGGCAGGAAGATCTCCAGTTTGAAGCCAGCCTCAGCAATTCAGCGACACTCTAAGCAACTTAGTGAGACCCTGTGTCAAAATATAAAAATACAAAGGGCTGGGGATGTGGCTCAGTGTGGTAAAGTACCCCTGGGTTCCATCCTGGTACCAAAAAAGAAGTCAGCTTTGAGGCACGCTGGGTCCTACTCGGGGTCAGCATCAACTTAGGTCTGGCCTCAGCTGAGCCCTGATACAGTGCACTGTCTGAGAGAGAACCCATTCTCAGGGATTTTGATCTTGATCAGGAGGAGGAGGAAATGGCTGCCCGGCCATTCAAGCACCTGAAGGCACACAGCCAAACCTCATTCCAATACAGAAGAAAGATCTCGGTGATCAGAAAGTTAAAATGACGGAGTGTTTCATGATGTTCCCATTACCCAGGGTAAATACTAACACAAACTGGGCTATCAGGTTGTTGCCTGGATGTTTTGCCAAGTTTACATCGTGGAATCTGTTTTAGCAAATACACCAAAGCAGAGGACCTACCTGCTGTTGCAAAAGTTGCTCTTTTCTCTCCAGGAGCTTAAGTTCAACAAAGCTCTCCAAGTCGTTAGCCGAGCCATGTTCATAGGTGAGGCCTAAATCAAGTACGAGGCCTGTTCTAAAGATGATTAATTCCAAATTAGTAAGTAGGGATTGCTGTGTATAGGAGCCCGTAGAGAACTCCTGATTTTCACGGTAGCGGTCATGGCCGCGTGCGCGTCCTGTTAAAAGAGGATGCCCAGTGAGCACAGGGAAATGACTGACTTCCTCTTTTTTAACAGTGAAGATGAAGACTACAGCTCCACCATGGACCATCTGTCTCTGCATCAGGTGAGCCAGGGCTGTGGTCCTTAGAGCCGACTGTCACCCAGCACTTCCTCCACCTCGGGAGCTCAGCCCTTGCCTGGCTCTACTGGTGGTTGCTGGCATTCTTCACTTTCTCCGGCTTTTCCAGAACAGAGCAGAACTATCCTGAAGCCCTGAGCACGAGAGCTCCGGGGCCAGTCTTTAGGCAGTTAGCTGGGCCATCCTGAGATGGCCCCTCTGGCCACTCCACCGGGAGTCTGTCTCCTGACCTGACCTGGTGTGGTCACCCTCTCTCCTGCCAGCTCCAGAGGTGAGGGGCAGCCCCCCGCCTCCCGGCAGCCGGGTGGAGAAGCAGACCGACTGAGAGAGAAATCTCAAACCCTCACCCAGAGGTGCTATTTTGTGTGTTGTGGCACTGGCTTTAAAAGCTGTTCCCAGAGGAGTTTGGCCATCCCTGGGCATCTGCGCAGCATGGGTTCCAGGACCCTGCAATCCCAGCATCTTCAGATGTTCAGGACCCTGACAGGGGACAGCTAGTATTTGCGAATCACCTCCACAAATCATCCTCCTGGGTACTTTAAATCATCTCTAAGTTACTTGAAACCCTGACACAATGCAATTGCTATGTAAATCATTGCTAGAGTGCACAGTTTAGGAAATAAAGACGAGGAAAACGTCTATTTCTTGCCCAAATCTTCTCCACGTGAGGTTGGTTGGCTCTGAGAATACGGAACCCTTGGAAACAGAGGTGACTGTATTTCAAGCACTAACAAGTAGAGGCTTCCCCCCAAGGGGCACCGGCTGGTAAGGCTGCCCCCTACTGAGATCATTTATTAATGTAGCACGTGACAACATCTCATTTTCAAGCTGTCAGAGGGATGCAAATCTTCCCAAGACACAGAGAAAGGAGGTAGGGAGGGAAAAGTCCGCGTGGCGTCCCAGACCCACCTGGAGAGCCCCCTCACCAAGTCTGCAGAACGTAGCTCTCCACGGCCATCCATAGCCACTCAGTGGCCATTTTTCCTTCTTCAAAGAAATCCTTCTACACCACGAGCTACCACTCACTTGGTGAGACCTGCGTGGACAAGCTGATGTCTCGGAGCACCTCAGAAACCTCAAAGACATCCAAGCTCACCTTCAAGGAGAGCCTGGTGCTGGTGTCTGCCAACGGGAAGACCCTGAAGAAGAGGCGGCTGAGCTTCAATCAGCCCATCTCCGATGACGACCTGGAGGCCATTGCCTACGACCTAGAAGAAGGTAAGGACCCCCCAAAAGGTGTCCTCAGCCTCCAGCTCTTAAGAGGTCTGAGTCAATAACCAGAGGCAGCCAGGGTTCAGCCTGCTGACCTCCAAAGGAGGGGTAACTGGTCATTCTCCAGGGGGAGAGATCAGCAGTGGCCTGAGGCTGGAATCCTCACTCCTGGGCTCCTTTCTTGGCCTGTTGTAAACGTCAGGTGACTTTTAGAGTGCTGGGAGAAAGTAGTTCTGTACTGTTAGTGGGTAACCTCTCCTTACCAGCTCTGCCTCCTTACTCTCTGGTACTTACTCTCCCCTGGAGTTCCTACCTCATTTGATTGTAAAGATTAAGTGAGTCATCACTCTCAAATTTCTGGACTAGAATAACGTGTGGTGTAGAGTAACCACCCAAGAAATGCTAGCAGTTGTTACTGTCACCACTGTTACTACTGCTACCTCTATTAATATGACCAACACCACTCATTTATTAATGTTGCACTCTCTCCTTGCCCTGCAACAACCTCATACCCTCCTTTTACATAGGAGAAAACAGCTCACGGAGATGTGTAGTCTGCCCACACACCTGTACACGGGAAGCCCTCACATCTAACTCAGTTGACTAACATCATCCTGGGTTTCCCCCATGCCTTAATGAAACATAAACAGGATATATATGTTTTTAAGATCATTCCTAAGCAATGATACATGTTCACCTTAGAAGGCTTAAAAATACAAGAAAATAGAAGAAAGAACATGAAAATAACTCACTTCTGCTGCTCAGAATTTATAACTTTGATCTCAGAATGCATTCATTTGAAAACATAGATAGGGACACTGGTGGTCTTCCTGGCCACTTAGAAACCTCCCAACAACCAAAAATGAGAAAGTCACACAAATAACCTCTTTAAAAAAAAAAAAAAAAAAAAAAAACACCACAACTATTGCCTGAGAAATCAGTTTTAAAAAGAAACAAATAAGTAGTCACAAGGCTACTCTTAGAATGAAGTCTAGCGCTGACTGACTTCGCATCTCTCTGTTTCCTCCCCTGGACTCAACTAGGTCTGATGCCCTTCCAGCACCGCTGGCTAGGCTTGTGTTAGCATGTTAAGGTGCATGTGTCCTCTGCGTTCATATGTAGACATTATTCTGAAATTGCACTAATGGTTTCAGAGCCCATCAAGCCCCGGTCCGCATCTCGCCTCCTCCAGAGCAACGTGAGTTACACCTACAAGAGGATCATCCAAAAGGAGTTTGCCCTGAATGACCCCCTCCATCAGAGTATAATCCAAGACCCGACATCTCAGTACCTCAAGGCTACGTCATTAACTGACCAGGACCAGGAAGGTAACAAGCCAACTTGGCTCCTCCCTTCCTCTCCTTTCTTTCAAGCTTTCTGCTTTAAAAAAAAAAAAAAAACTCTCTAGATCCTGGTTGGCACAGATCCTCTAGAACAGGAGAAAGCGTATCACCCTCGTAAAAAGCTTAGGCAGGACCGACGTGCCTTTTCCTCAAGGTCGGGGGTCGAGGAGGGGAGCACACAGCCTTCTGAAGTGCTCTCTTCTTGGTTCTTACAAATATTCTTCCCCCCTGACTTTAAAGATGAGGAAACTGAGTTTCAGAGTTTTAATGACTTACTCAGATTGAGCCAGACACCCGTGAGGCACAGTCATTCTCCACAGAAAGCCTGACCATCGATTAGGACGCGTCCTGCTGTCTTTGATAATACAGTTGTGGGGCAAAACAGCCACTAGGCTGTAACTGTGGTCTCAAGAATGAAATTCAAGTGTCCAAAAATTTTTGTCACACAGATCCAAATTCCATGCTAAGCCTGTTTTTGTCACAGGATGTGTCCTCAGTGTACAAAACTATTTTCAAAGATCCAGAGAGGTGAGTTTGCAATAGACATGCAGGGCTCTTTCTGATTGGAAGCACTTTGGTGAACAAGCTTTGGATCTGTGACATTTACAGAGTATTTTGCATTCTGTTTTTTGTACTTAACATTACTCCAATATTTGCACATTTGGGCGCAGTCTATGTATTTGCCATTTTAGTGGCACCGGGGTATGCAACAGTGCTGCTCTGCGGGGCCAGGGTTGGCTCAGTAGCTCTGTTGCCAGCACCGTCATATCTATTACTGACTTCCCCCACCAGGTTATACCCCAAAGTGGGACGCCCAGACCAGAAGGCACAGTGACAGCCCTTACTACACATTGATCGCAGGAAAACTGGACTGCTTTTCATATGGTCCAGCTTCCTAAACCCCTCCATTGTAGGTCGTGATGAACTCATGAACTCAGAACTTGCAGGGTCTCATTCCACTAACGTAACATCTACACGGGGGCCTGCAAATGCTCATGGAGTCCCTGAGCAGTGTGTTGACACAGAAAATTCTAAAAACATTAAATATTGACCTGCCTGGAGACCTATTTTCTCTCCCCACCCCCACCCCCAATAAACACATGATCTTATACAAAAACAACAAATACAATGGATTGATTTTCTGTCTTGGCTCTTTTCTCTACCAGTGAAATTCGACATGGGTGCCTACATTTCAACAACAGAGGATTCCAAATTTCCAGTGACGCTAAGAATCTCTAAAACGCATCTCTTCGTGAGTGCCCAAGAAGAAGACGAACCTGTGTTGCTCAAGGTCAGTTGTCTTTGTCCGGCTTTGCCCCCTTGACCTCCTGTGGTTTGTAAAGGATCCCAACAGGCAGACACCCCCAGCAGCGTGGCCTGGTCCTCTTTCCTTCCTCCCACAGTTCCTATCTCTCTCGGACTTCTTACCTGTCCTCAGAGGCAACCCCAGCAGCATCTGAGAGAGAGAATAGAGGAGGTCAATTGCCTTCTGGCTTCCTGTTCCTCTGTCTGGCTGACCCTACTCTGCTCCCAGCCCCGGGCATCTGTTTACTCCATCCACCCTTACTGACAGCCACGGTCCATCCTACATGGTCCTCAGCATAGAGACAGTGGGGTCTGAGGAACTGAAGGAAGCAACTGAGTTCAGGGAGGACCCATCACCTGCTAAGAGCATGAAGCAGACCGTGACCTTCTGAGTCCTCCAGTGCCTCTCTATTCCTGGGTGGCACCATCATCCCTCACCCTATCCCCCTCATCCCTGCCACCCCCCACCCCTAGAGAGAACAGACGTATATACCCAGCCCACGGCAGCCACAGAGCTGCTCTCTACTGGTAAGTAGGCAAAGGTCAAATCCAGCACCTCCTATCCCCGGCTAGAACTCCTGCCATAGGATCCATTCTAATGAAAACGGTCTCCACAGCCGAGGGCAGCAGCTTCGTCTTTTTTGTATTCAACAAGTATTGCTTATGGAGCCTTCTGTTTGTTCAGACATAGCGCCAGCAGCTATGGAGACAGGGTGTGTCAGAGTCCTCAGCCTTTTAGACCTTAGTCTTCTGAGGATCCGAAGAAGCTTAGGTCCCTTGGAGCTGGTGCACTGTGAGAAAGAGGAAGGACCTTCAGAAGCCAGCGCTTGTAGAGCTTGGATTTGGATTTCATTTCAGGGACAGCGAAGGGCCACTGGAGGCGGGTTCAGACAGTGCAGTGGCCCGACCTCACTTAGATCTCTTACGTGAAGAAGAGACCAGAAGGCAGGCAGAGGAGAAGGCAAAGAGCCCAGTTTGGGGGCTATGACTGTGGTCAAGCACTAGAGCAAAAGAGAGGCTGCGAAGAATTAGAATGGGTCCTAGTTAGAGAGATGCCCAACAGGAAATAGAAGAGGAACTCTATTTGCTGAGATGGCAAAAGTAGGAGAGGAATAAGTTTGAGAAATAAAATCTTTGCCTACATTGAAAACCCCAAGGGAACCTCAGAGGAATACTTATTTCTTTTAGATTTAAAAGAGTAGGGAAGCTGGGTGTGGTAATCCCAGCAGCTCAGGAGACTGAGGCAGGAGGATCAAAGCCAGCCACTGCAAAAGCAAGGCGCTAAGCAACTCAGGGAGACCCTGCCTCTAAATAAAATTCAAAACAGGGCTGGGATGTGGCTCAGTGGCCAAGTGCCCCTGAGTTCAATCCCTGGTACCCAATAAATAAATAAGAGAGTAGGGAAGAAGTGTCTCAACTCGAAAAATGAAATTCATTTTTCCATAAAAGTACTGCCAGTGTCGGTTCACTCACAGGAGGAGCTCAGTCTAAAGAGATCCTTTTCAAAGGATTGTGTTCCTGGAATAACTGGGAAGGTGTTTGTTTGTGTATGTTTAACCTTTAATTTTTTGACTTAAATATGGAAATAAATGTCGTCTAAATGCTAAATGGCCCCCCTAAGGTGTGACTTACACTATTCGAGGTCACCATGCTCAGAGGGCTAAGAATCCCCGCCGTAAGCCTTTGGTGAAGACAGCAATCAATGCTTCTCCCCAGTTCCCCTGACACAGTGAGACACCGGTGTCATTGGCGGTCATGACTAATTAAAATTTCTTTCCAATTAACTAAGAAAATCAACTCCTGTGAATAAGTGGGGCCAGGCCTCCGAGAGGCATGTGGAAATGCCTGACTCACGAGCAAATGAATGAAGAAACCGCATGGTCACGTTGGAGTCACCGTCCTAGAGGGTTGCTCCCCGGGGAAGCATCTTCCTGTCCTCTAACAGAATTCGGTTCTCTTTATCACAGGAGATGCCAGAGACACCAAAAACCATCACAGGGAGCGACACCAACCTCATCTTCTTCTGGGAAAGTCACAGTGACATGAACTACTTCACTTCGGCCGCCCATCCCGAGCTGCTTATTGCCACAAAGGAGGACAGTGTGGTGCACATGGCCAGGGGCCTCCCCTCGATGACAGAATTCCAGATTTCGTAAAACCAGCCTCCGCGGTGGGGTTCACTCCTCTGTGAGGTGGTGACAGTCCGTATGTACCGTGTACATGAAGGAGTCGAATTCTTTACTCTCAGTGACGTGCTGAGAATGGGCTGAGCCTTTGTAATTCTAAATGAATGTTTACCCTCTTTGTAAGAGAAGCACTGACATAGGAGGCTATTTGTTAGTTAGAGAACACCCTATACTTTGCAGAGTACCAGTCATTTTAATTATTCTTCTTCATAACATTCTTAAGGAGAGCCACAGGGCTACTGACTATGGCTACCAAAAAAGATTCTACCCACATTACAGTTGGGTTAACTAAGGCAGAAAAAAACACAGCAGCACTTGGAATTAGAAGCCACAGACCCAGGACTTCATTCCCTCTATGTCCCTTCTGCTTCCAAGTTGTTCTTGGACCCTTAATCAAATAGGAAAAGTTTCTGGGACCTCAGTTTTATTGTTTTCAAGAGAGTGGGAATAAACAGGCACAGGGGTGCACCCCAGTAATCTCAGCCATTCAGGAGGCTGAGGCAGAAGGATCTCTAGTTCAAGGGCAGCTTCAGCAACTTAGCAAGACCCTGTCTCAAAATGAAACACAAAAGGCTGAGCATGTGGCTCAGTAGTTCAATCTCCAGTACCCTCCCCACCAAAAAAATAGTTAATTAATTAAAAGGTTTTTTAAAGGGGAGGAATAATACCTTTATCTTTCTGCCTCAATGGTTTTTTTAATACGAATCAGTGAGTGAGGTCCTTTTTTTTTAGTAAACTACCTCTTGAAGCTGGGCTTAAGAAAGAGAGACCTTGGAATGTTATTTATGAAGTATTATTTATATATATGTATGTGTCTATTTATTAACATATTTAAGATAATTATAAGTTATTATTATATTTATGGCCACTCCCTGCTTCCTCGAGGTATCCTCGGCAGCAGCGAAGGTCCTCAGTCTGAGTTAGGTGTGGTTACATCAGGACGCGCTGGTCCCGGCTGTGCTTTTCATAGCCACACAGCCCTGCATTCTAGTACCTGGGAGCCCTGTAATTATGGTAATAAATTTATATTTATTATCCTGTGTGTGTGAGCTAATAATTAGGCTGGTCTTTCACTCCTCTGCCCTTCGCCTTGCCTGAGCATTCTCTATCTTTCAACCTCACCTGTCATCAAGTCTCACTACGTAAAACAGGAGGAACTCAGCTTTGGCAACCACAAACCCAATGTTACCTAAACTTTATTTTCAGGACTACAATTGACATTTCTATTGGATTCTAAAAATTGTCATCAAATTATCACCATGCTACTACACTATTATCTCTAAGAACGATTGATATCTTATTATCAATCATAATTCAATAAAGCATCAAATTTGATCTGAGACATAGTTGTTATCTTTTTTGTTTTGGTTTTGGGGGACTTTTTGGGGGGGTTGCTTTATTGTTTTCACTACTGTTTTTCTGCAAGGTAATTAGGGGCAAATAATAAAGTTTCATGGAAATAACTATATGTAGCGTTACATTTAAAAAAACCAAAGCAAGATTCTATAGTTTTTCTCTACCCTTTGTACATAAATGGCATCAGTCAGGCTAGGGTGTGGCACCGTAGTTGAGCACTTGCCTAGAGTGTAAAAGTCCCTAAGTTCAATCCCCAGAACCTCAAAAAAAAAAGCAACAATAAGGGACTGGGATTGTGATTCAGTGCTACAGCGCTCGCCTAGCACATGCAAGTCGCTGGGTTTGATCCTCAGCACCACATAAAAATAAATGGATAAAATAAAGTTGTGTCCAACTACAACTAAGGAAAAATTATTTTTAAAAAGCTACAATAATACTCCTAGGTTTTTTTTTAAACTCACATTTCACTGTGCAAATGTTCATGCCCATACAAACTCATACTTATAGAGTCCTATTTACAATAATTAAAGGATTCATTTGAAAAGCTTGACACAAGGTACATTGAGCTGGAAAGGTTAAAATCAAGGGAACTTGATTTAATGTGGACCATGATGAGGAAGGAGAGTCCAAAAGGGGCGGTCTCTCAGGACTGGACACTGGATGACCACTGCTGTCTTCAGTGATATTTCTGGTGGACGAATGGAGCTCTCCACTCCAGGGTGAAGTAGGATGCAGGTAATTACAGACGTGTCATTGGAGCCGCTGACGGACACCCAAGTGCAGATGTACAATGGGTGGGTGACAAGCACCCAGAACTCAGGAGAAGTCAGAGCTAGACAGGAATGGGCTGGGAAAATACCATTAGCTGTGAAATAAGCCCATGTGCCCTGCCCTAAAGAATGAATCCAACTGGGTTAGATCCAGGTTTAGGCTGCCCTCACATGACTAAGCCATGTTGACTTCCTTCTGTGTAGTAGGATGTCAAGCCAGTGGGGCAACTTCCCGGAAAAGATTTTCAACCCAGACAAAAGAGAGAGTCACGTGGAAGAAGTCCTTTTTCCTTCCTGCCTGAGACACCTTCCATGAGGCTCCGGAGGTTGGAGTTGCATAATCAACTTGAAAAACGCAGAGAAGGCAGAGTGGCAAACTTATCTCCATCTCCACATCATTAGCCTGAGAACCTCCCTCTAGACCTGGAGAAAACTTTTGCATTCTAGGCAAGTGCTCTCCCATGGTGCTACACCCCAGCCTGACTGATGAAAACAAAAATATCCTTGTCTGTAAGCCATTTCACTTGATTTGCTATTGCTGGCAGAGAAAATCAGCAGGCTTGATACAGAGCACCACCAGGACTGGGTCTCTTGTTTGTTTCATTTGTTATTTTATTTTATTTTATTGGAGGTGGGGGTAATTGGAGATTGAATTGAACCTCGGGTTGCTCTACCACAGAGACACATCCCCAGTCCTTTTTATTTTTTTTTTATTTTGAGAAAGGTCCTCACTAATTTGCAGAGGCTGGACTTGAACTTGTGATCCTTCTGCCTCACCTGGTTCTATCTGGCAGCCACAACTGCCCTCAAGTTTCCTTATCCCAATCTGGCAAGGGTTAAGACTAAGTAAAACCTGCTTTCTTGCTTTCCCTTGGTTTGAAGAAACATTTTAGAACTATTCTAATGTTAACCTCTCTTTAATTTTAAGAAATAGGAAAATAAAAAACACAGAGCAAGCAACACAAATTCAAGAGGCCTTAGCTGGGCATAGTGGGCACACATCTGTAATCCCAGTGGCTCGGGAGGCTGAAGCAGGAGGATCGCAAGTTTGAGACCAGCCTCAGCAACTTAGCGAGGCCCTTGGCAACTTAGCAAGACCCTGTCTCAAAAAATAAAAAAGGGCAAAAATAAATAAATAAATAAAAATAAAAAAGGGCTAGGGATGTGGCTCAGTGGTTAAGTACCCCTGGGCTTAATCCCTGCTACAGAAGAAGAAGAAGGAGAAGGAGAAGGAGAAAAAAAGCTTAAAAAAGATATATTAGCTGTTGAGTCTCTGATCAATAGTGAAAATCAAACCTTTGTAGGAATGGTCAGAAGCATTTTTCTCCGGGGGCCAGCCCTCTGTAGCCTGTGCCCCACCTCCCTGACCATCTATAGCCAGAGTCACCATGATGAGCTTCAACATCTTAGCACTAAACGCTCAGTTCCTTTTACTAAGTCTTATATGTCAGTTTCCAAATTGATGTAAAGGCAAATCCCTCCATTCAGTTCTAGGCACAGAAGCCAAAAGGCCTCTCTTAACAATTAAAAGTACCTGCCCTTGATCTCTTAGGAGCGACCGACTGAGGCGACTGGGATAGCTCCTACAGTGGGCTTAAGATGTCCTGTGGACCCATGGCTGATCCTCAAATGTGAGGGGGTCTCAGCTGAATGCACTCACCAGTCTTGACTGACTTTGGTGTCAATCTTTCAATCTTTCATGAATTTGGTTGCGTTGGATTGAAAATAATACTTGGCATGGTCAGCTCAGCACAGCGCAGAGTGGGATCTTTGTTCAGATGCCTCGGCATTAGTCTTTTGAACACTAAATGACATTGTTTACTGGTAAGGTATTTGTAGACAACTAAGACCTGTGGCTTTCCAACCTAACTTCAGAACTGTAAATGTATCCCAATTACATTTAACCTGGTTAACTTGGCTCCAAGAGGTGTTTAGATTGCTCTGAATTCTGATTCTCTTATCTAATACCCTAGTTCTCCCTCTTAGCTTGTGACATCTACAATTTAAAAAGCATGTTTTAATTTTGCTCAAAGTATATTATAAAGTCAAAAGATAAGTTACAAACATTTTTACCAGGTGGTTCTGTTTTATTTAAAATTATTTATATCTAAAAAGATTATGGAAGGCTACATATACATCAAAATGTTAACAGTTCTTCTTTATGAATGATTGAATAATTTATAAATTTTCTGGGCGTTTGCTTATATATTTTCATGATTTTAAGGGCATGTATGATTACATGACAAAACACCAACAAACAATTTTTGTTGTTTGAAAACATCTCATTGAACTATACATACGATGAATGAATTTCAAGGTATGCAAATTATACCCCAGTAAAGAAGTCTTTTGTAATTTATAAGAAAAAGAGAGGCATCCCTATTCCATTCCCCACTTAGGGTAATGAGAGTGGCCTTTTTGGAGTCCTCTCTCAGCAGCCCTGGCATGAGAGGTTTACTTAAGCTCTTATGAGTTAATTTATCTTTCAGGTGAGTGCGATGCTCTCCCTCTCGTTCCCTTTCCTATCCTCCACTCTCACTGACCAAGAGTACCCGTGCTTCCTTTTTTTCAAAAACTTATATCCTGGCCTGGGGATATAGCTCAGTTTGTAGAGCAGCACTTACCTCATATGCACAAGGCCCCAGGTTCAATCTGCAACATCAAAAAAAAAAAAAAAAATTTATCCTTCCTGTTTTTCCATCAGAGTAGCTGATGGATAAACAATAAACGGTCCCATAAGACCTTATGAACAAAGAGGCTGAGCCCCCAGAGTGCGTTAAATGAAGGCCTTAGCGTGTGTAGGCTTCTCTAACACTGACCTTTTCAAAAGTGTCCCTGCCCCGGCCTCTGATTCAGTCGTTCTGGAATGGGGCTTTGAGCAGACCCACCCCTCCTGCTCCCCCGCCTACCCCTCCCTGTGCTCTCTCTTCAGTTCCAAAGGCAACGCTCATGCTTCCCCCTGGCTAGGAACTTCTGGAAGAAGGTGTTCCCAGAGTCAAACATAGTCCCATGACCAGGCTAACAGCAGCTTCCACCCGGGTAAGCCAATCCAGGGCTGGGAGAGGTGAGGATGCACATCTTATCAATTCAGCAGAGGCCTTCCAACAGCCATGGGGACACTAGGGCAGCCCATTGGCAAACAGGTTGCTCAGCAGACAGCGCCCCGTTTTACATACACACCTGTGCCTTTCTCAGAAACTGTGGGCCTGGCAGGTGGACACAGTGGGCCTGGCAGGGGGACACTGCCTTGGGATTTCCTCTTCGGACAGATATGTGTTGCACTTCTCAAATGAGAGAGGCCTATGGAAAGGAGAACACAAGTGGGCTGTTTCTGGCTTATCCTCCCATCTTTCCACGCCTCCAAACCAACTCTGGCCACTAGCAAGATAAGAGGCCTTGATTTCCAGAGGAGCCCTCCTCTCTCCTCCCACCAAGAATTGGAACTTGTTTCCTTCCACACAGCCCCTATTCCCTGATTAATAGGTGACAGAGCCATTTCTTCCTCTCATGGAGAAAAATACTGTTGCTAAACTGAAAAGAGAGGATTTGCGGAGATTACGGTCATTCCTGACATGGGCCTATTGCAATGATTTGGAAGAGACTTTCCACAGATGTCTTTAAAGCACTGCAGGCACAAGGTCTCTGCCTCAGATCAGGAGGGGCAAGTCATGCCAAGACTTGTCTCCATCTTTGCCAGGACTACTTGTTTGGTGCCACGGCAAGGCTATCTCTGTGGTGGCCATGGTGGGTTGTGGGTTGTAAAGTCATGGGCATTCAGATCAGATAGAGGACTCCTCCTGTTCTGACATGGGTCAGAACAGCTAAAGGAACTCCTGACCATCAGCTGGTGTCCGGGAAGAGAACATCCTGGCAAGAGGATGTGACCTGCCACCCCAGCCCTGCTGGAAATTAAAATTCACTATCTCCTAATTCACACTCTTGTGAATCTAGGATAACGTAGAGGGAAAGAACCACCTTGGGAATCACTACTGAGCTCTAATCTCGTGGACTGTGTTGCTTTTCGGCTACTCTCTTCCTCTGTCATTCTGTTTTTCTTCGCCCAGAATCCTGAACCCACAGAGCAGAGGCACGGACCCTGGGTGAAGGCAGACATTCTAGAAACCATCAGGTAGATTCTCTTGGCCAGCCGGTCGCCATCCTTGCTGACTTCAAGCTGACCATGCTTATTGATTTCCAACTTCTACATTATATTGTG